TACACCAAACTTGGATTGGATTTATACCCCGCCCTTCACTACCCGAAGGAGTCTCAGAGGGGCTTACAAACTCCTTTCCCTCCCCCTCCCCACCACAGACACCCTGTGAGGCAGGTGGGGCTGAGAGAGCTCTGACAGAAACTGCTCTTTTTCAAGAACAGCTGTGCCAGAATTATGGCTTGCCCAAGGTCATCCAGCCAGGTACAAGTGGAGGAGTGGAGAATCAAACCCGGTTCTCCCAGATTAGAGTCCGCGCACTTAACCACTACACCAAACTGGCTCTCAGATCTGTGGCAGTGTAGGAGGTTGTGGGTCACTGCTCACTGAGGGAAGGGCTGTGGCTCAGTGGTAGAGCATCTCCTTGGCATGCAGAAGGTCCCAGGTTCAATCTCTGGTATTTCCCGTTAAAAGACCAGGCAGTAGGTGATGTGAAAGGCCCCCAGCCTGAGACCATGGAGAGCGGCTGCCAGTCTGAGCGCACAACCCTGACTTTGACTGACCTAGTAGGGTCTGATTCAGTAGAAGGCAGTTTCATGTGTTCACCTGTTTTTCACTCCCCAAAGCTCCTCCCCTGCCACAGATGTTGTTAATCTTTAAGGTGCTCCTGGACCCTTGCTCTTTTCTCCTGCTACAAAGCACAGTTCGCTCCACTGCCCTCTGTGTGTGCATTTTTTAAAGATGGGAACTTTTACAGTGAGATGCCCATGCAGGTTGGTTTATTCCATAGTTTAGAAGGCAGTTTCATGTGTTCACCTGTTTTTCACTCCCCAAAGCTCCTCCCCTGCCACAGATGTTGTTAATCTTTAAGGTGCTCCTGGACCCTTGCTCTTTTCTCCTGCTACAAAGCACAGTTCGCTCCACTGCCCTGTCTGTGTGCATTTTTTAAAGATGGGAGCTTTTACAGTGAGATGCCCGCGCAGGTCGGTTTATTCCATAGTTACCCACAACTCCACGGCTTAGAGGGAACATTGACCCACGCCCTGCACTTGGCGGGTGGAGAAGGACTTGAAAGAGCGGTGTTATCTCGAAGGGCTGGAGCAACAGGTTTGGTGGGGAAATAAAATCCGGGTGTTATTAACAACCCTGCAAACAGCGTCCCCGTTTTCAGCAGTGAAGCCCGTGGCTGTTTCCCTTCGCACTTGGATCACAGACCCTTGGGTCACTGTCGAAAGACTCCAGGGCGTTTCACACGTCCCCCAGCGACACACCCAGCCTTGCGAATAAATATATTCCAGAGGACGCCGCAGCCGATCCTTTTCCCCAAAATTTAAGACGGCCACGCGCCGCACGTGTTTCCTAGCCCTCCCTGTCACATCCCCACGTTACAGTGCTAGGACTAGAGCACGTGAAGAACGTCACGTGCGAAAGAGACCTAACTGCTGAGCTATGTAGACGGCCTGCGGGTCTGACTCTGGCCATGAGCTCAAATACCTCTCCGGGACGTGGCGAATCTGTCGCTGCTCCGCGCTAGCAGCCTCGCCCCCAGCCCCCCAAATCGCAGCATCTTCTTGCCCTCATGCAGAAGCCCCATAGTAAAGCGGCTCGGGACCAGACACCCGCTTCCGCCCTGGAGCCCGATTGCTCGCTGGGAAATGTAGTTCCTTGTAGGTACGTAAGGAGTCCTCGCGTCCTCCTCCTGCTGCGGAGCATTCTGGGAAATGTAGGCGATGCAGGATGAACCCGGGGGAACCTCCCGAATAAACAGAAAAGCTAAACCAGACGGAGGCAGAGTAGCTTTTTCCTTTCCTAAGCCACGTGCCGGGAGGGTCTGTTTTATCCTGCCTTTCCTCCAAGGAGCTCAGAGCCACGTATTTGGCGCCCCCCCTCCCCCATTTCACAACGATCCTGTGAGGTCGGCTATGCTGAGAAAAAGTAACTGGGCCAAAGGTCAGCCACTGAATTGCAGAGGGATTTGAACCTGAGTCCCGTAGTCTCTAACCACTACGCCGGCTGTTTGCCTAACTATAGGGTTATAGAATCATAGAGTTGGAAGGGGCCATTCAGACCATCTAGTCCAACCCCCTGCCCAGCTCTGGGTTGGGGGCAGAGCCTGAGAAAGGGGGGGGTTGGGGGAGGGGAGGGACTTCAATGGGGCATAGTGCCAAAGCACCCCCCTTCCAAAACAGCCTGCCCTGACCTGGATAGCCCAGGCTAGCCTGATTTTGTCATATCTTGGAAGCTAAGCATGGTTGGCCCTGGTTAATATTTGGAAAGGCAACCTCCAAGGAATCCCAGGATCATGACACAGAGGCAGGCAACAGCAAACCACCTCTTGACACCTCTCTTGCCTTCAAAACAAGTCTAGCTTGCCACCTGGTGGTGCATAACACTAAAGAGCTTTAACTGCTAGCAGACAGACAGTCTTAGGATCTCCTGGCTATACGACACGCACTGCCAGACAATCATTATTCATTATAATTCCAAAACAGCCATTTTATCCAGGTGAACTGATCTCTGTCACCTGGAGGTCGATCCAGGTAGTCAGCCGTGTTGCTCTGAAGAATCCCAGGAGATCTCCCGCCACCGCCTGGAGGGTAGCAACCCCAGGGGTGGGGGACGAGGCAGGGGAGAAGCAGGCTTTGTACTTGAGGCCCTAACCATCCCAGAGCCCTGACACCAAACCACCAGTCTGTCTTCTCACATGCTTATCCTGCTCTTTCTTCAAAGAACTCAGGGGGCCCTGCACAGACTTCCGGTGAAAAGTACTGAGACTTACTAGTGATTTCAGCTCTCATTCTTTATTTCAGCTCAGAACAAGACGAGAGTACCCAGCTCGCAGGCTGGTTTATATGTGCACAAACCCCGCTCCCCAAACACACCCACCCACCCACAAGTGATTGACTATTTACAGTGGCTGAGAGTTCCATAGGCTCTCGGCCCGGAGCCTAGCCTGCCGATAGGTGCCGGCTAGGATCCGCTTGTCCCACTGTTACTGAGAGCGAAGCTCAGTCGCTTTGGCGAAATGGCCGCGCACGCGGTCTGATATGGATACATCACATCCGGCTTCTCCCGTTTCATCCTCACAACAACCCCGCGAGGTAGGTAAGGCAATGTGAGGAGAGCCTCAGCTGAAAACTGGCTCGCGTCTGATTTCTTTGACAATGTTCTTCAGAAGAAAACGGCCTTACCTGGGGGAAAGGCCGAAATGATGCCTGTGTCCATTAGAGGGCAGCAGGCAACAGCAAAACCTGCCCAGTGCTTCCTACTGTGAGCTGCTTTGTTTCTTTAAAAGAATCAGAAAAAAGCTACTGAGGATGATAAACTCTGGAGGGGCTGCGGCTCAATGGAAGAGCCTCTGCTTTGCACGCAGAAGGTCCCAGGTTCGATCTCCGGTTAGAAGGACCAGGTAGGAAGTGATATGAAAGAGCTCTGCCTGAGACCCTGGAGAGCTACTACTAGTCTGAGTAGACAAGACTGATCTGGATGGACCAAGTATAAGTATAGATTGTATAAAGCAGCTTCATGTTTATGTGTTCAGCTTTGTCTGATGCTAGCTACACCCCTACAATTCAATTTCTAGGGTTGCCAACCACCAGGTGGCACTGGGAGACCTCCCACTATTACAACCAGTGTTCCCTCTAAGCCGAGTGAGTGTGAGCCGGCTCACAGTTTTCTAGCCTCCGGCTCACACATTTTCGCCTTAGCTCAGGAAGGAGGCCTCCAGAGCAAACGAATTTATGCAGCAGCCGAATCGCTCGCTCACAACTTGAATGCCGGTAGCTCACAAAGTAGAACTTTTGCTCACAAGACTCCGCAGCTTAGAGGGAGCATTGATTACAATGGATTTCCAGGCAACCAAGATCAGTTCCCCTGGAGAAAAGGGCTGCTTTGGGAGGTGGACTCTGTGGCATTATATCCGGATGAGGTCCCTCCCCTCCCAAAACCTCACCCTTCCCAGGCTCGGAGACGGTCTCCTTCTTCCCTGGTCCTCAGGCCTTCTGTACCTTTCCCCTCCTTTACCCCTACTTCTGAGAGTGGTACGCAAGATCATCCGAGACGGAGCGGACTGCTTGTTGATAACACCGTGGTGGCCAAGACAACCATGGTTCTCCACACTCCTCGAGTTGTCAAGGGGAATGTACCACCAATTCCCTCCGGTACAGGACCTCCTCTTCTTGTCAGACTCCCCTCTCCTACATCACGACTGTACCACGCTTGAAATTGACGGCGTGGAGAATAACGTCAAAGGTTTTTCGACCCGCGTAGCCAATGTCCTACTGAACGCCAGGAAACCTGCTACGCGAAGGTCCTACCATTATAAATGGCAACGATTCTGTTCTTCCCTAGGTGATGATGCCCCTCGAGCCTCCTCCGCAGGCCATAGGCGTAATCTTCGTGGGGGTGGCGGGGCGTTAGCCCCCGCCGAAATTTTCAGGAAGGTGCTCAGCCTCCCCCGGGAGCCACCCTTGCTCCTAGCAAAGCAATGCCTCTGGCCCAGCCCCAGCCCCCCCCCCTCCGCAGGCCTCGAGAAAGTTTTCCAATTGGCTGACTCGGGACTTTCCCATTCATCATTAAAAGTTTAAAGGTAAAGGTAAAGGTTCCCTTGCTCGAAAGCCAGTCGAATCCGACTCTAGGGTTGCGGTGCTCATCTCCGTTTCAAAGCCGAAGAGCCAGCGCTGTCCGAAGACGTTTCCGTGGTCATGGGGCCGGCATGACTAAACACCAAGGCGCACGGAACGCTGTTACCTTCCCACCGAAGTGGTCCCTATTTATCTACTTGCAATCTCTTGCTTTTGAACTGCTAGGTTGGCAGGAGCTGGAACTAGAGATGGGAGCTCACTCCATCATGCGGCACACTCGGGTCTCGAACCGCTGAACTACCGACCTTCCACAGCCTGCAGTTCAGCGTCTTAACCACTTGAGCAATTTCGGCCTACCATGTTCACGTCGACGGATGCACCATGTTTTTACATCCGCTTTTGTTGTGTATGCTGGCCGCCACCAGGGGCCAGCGGCGACCCAGGGCTTGACCCTGGGTGGACAATGGAAACCAGCCTCTTGGTCTCTCCAATAGGAGCCAAGGGAAAC